GATATGGAGTATGTTTGCAATAGCGTACTACTGTACTACTCTACTATAGATGCTGATTTTGACTTGAACTCCCCTTTCCAGTGTGATTCCAGTGAATTCTGTTAACATCCTTCCTGTCTCTCAGCCATTTAGAGCTTATTCTTGATTTCCTGTTTCACAGCAAATCAGCAGCCATCAGGAGCAGTTCATCCAGATGCTTAATGAGCCGGGGCAGGAGGCGGGGCAAGGAGGCAGTGGGGGCGTGGCCGAGGCCGGAGGCGGGCACATGAACTACATCCAGGTCACACCCCAGGAGAAAGAAGCTATTGAGAGGGTAAATTAGACGCATTGTCACAAATTGCTCAGAGGTGCCACTGTATTATTTGCCAACTCAAATATAAGACTTTTAAAGACGTGCATCAACTAACACACACATGCAACTGGAAAACAGGGTGCTCATTTAAACAGATGATGGAGATCAAATCTGCACGCTTACAGCCATCTACAACACGTATGTGTCCCTGCAGCACAAAAGCAGTGTTAAGTCGCTGGGGTATATTTGTAGCAATAGCCAACAATACATTGTATGGGTCAAAATTATACATTTTTCTTTTATGCTAAAAATCATTAGGATATTAAGTAAAGATCATGTTCCATGAAGATATTTTGTAAATTTCCTACCGTAAATATATCAAAACTTAATTTTTGATTAGTAATATGCATTGCTAAGAACTTCATTTGAACAACTTTAAAGATGATTTTCTCAATATTTAGAATTTTTTGCACCCTCAGATTCCAGATTTTCAAATATTGTTCTATCCTAACAAACCATACATCAATGGAAAGCTATTTATTCAGCTTTCAGATGATGCATACATCTCAATTTCGAAAAATTGACCCTAATGACTGGTTTTGTGCTCCAGGGCCACATATAGACAATAGACTGTAAAGTAAACAGTCATAATTCATCAACAGTAGATCGAAAGCAATCATTTGGCATTCAGTTATTGCAAACTGCTCTGAAACCACGAGCCTGTAGAATGTGAGACAGCGCCACATTTTGACATTTAATTAATTAAATAGTAACATTGCATGCTCTGTTGCAATTCCTAGTTTTAAAATCTCTTAAAATGATTGGGACCCTGTAACTGGGAAAGCTGTAATGAGTGCACACAAGTAATGCATGAAAACATGTCCGTCTGACTCGCATGTGCGCTAGCGGGATTACACGTGCATGTGTTCACAGTAGTTTGCTAATAGTTAGAATTATTGGCCACAACGGAGCCCTGAAAGTCTGTATCGGCGCATCCTCAGCTATAGTTTATCCTTGTTCTAGGTCTGAGGCTTAAGATACTTTTTAAAGCCATGAAGACTGTATTCCAAGTTCAGCTAATTACACCGAGGCCCTTTAATTAGAGATGGAGGATCTGTCTGGCGAACGATCAAAGGTGCGCGAGTCTTTTCCCCAAAAGGACACCAGGAGTCTTTCTGTGGTCTTATCTAACCTTTCCGTGTTTCCTCTGTGTTTCTTCCTCAGCTAAAAGCCCTTGGATTCCCAGAAGGACTCGTTATACAGGCCTACTTTGCTTGTGAGAAGAATGAAAACTTGGCTGCAAACTTCCTTTTACAACAGAACTTTGATGATGATTAGAGGAGTGGCACCCCGATCATTTTCCCCTCTTATGTTTTTTTTTTCTTTTTTTGAGTGATAATTTTGGTGAAGAAAATCTATAAAATACACACACACAGGCTGTCATATTCTGTCTAAATTTTACACACTGGATGACATGATCACATCCGTCTGGAGAAATCAGTAAAGGCCTTTTTGGAAACCACAAGCCCGTAGAATGCGAGACGGTGCCACATTTTAACATTTAATTAAATCATTCTTTTAAAATTTAATAATATTATACTGTATTGCAGTTCCTGGTTTTCCGTTCATCCTCATAAATTTATCATGAAGAATTTTGTTGTACTATTTAAGATATTTAATACCGTTTATGACCTTAAATTTGATCAAACTGAATTGAAGATTTTTTAAGTACTCGCTGGAACCCTGTAACTGGGAAATCTGTAATGAGTGTGCAAGTAATGCATGAAAACATGACACCAAAGCCCTGTCCGTCTGACTTGCATGTGCGTGCGTTTGAGGAATAGTGCATAGAAATACTCTCAGTATGCTTCAGTAATTATTCACAGTAATTATTGGCCACAACAAGCTGTTGATTTGCACTTGCTAGCCCAGAAAGTCTGTATCGCTGCATCCTCAACTCTAGTTTTTCTAACTTTGTTCTGAGCCTTGAGATACTTTTTAAAGCCGTAAAGTCTGAATTTCAAGTTTAACTAATTACACCGAGGCCCTTTAATTAGAGAGGGATACAGATGGAGGATCTGTCTGGCGAACGATCAAAGGTGCGCGAGTCTTTTCCCCAAAAGGACACCAGGAGTCTTTCTGTGGTCTTATCTAACCTTTCCGTGTTTCCTCTGTGTTTCTTCCTCAGCTAAAAGCCCTTGGATTCCCAGAAGGACTCGTTATACAGGCCTACTTTGCTTGTGAGAAGAATGAAAATTTGGCTGCAAACTTCCTTTTACAACAGAACTTTGATGATGATTAGAGGAGTGGCACCCCGATCATTTTCCCCTCTTATGTTTTTTTTTTCTTTTTTTGAGTGATAATTTTGGTGAAGAAAATCTATAAAATACACACACACAGGCTGTCATATTCTGTCTAAATTTTACACACTGGATGACATGATCACATCCGTCTGGAGAAATCAGTAAAGGCCTCTTTGCTTCATCTAACACTTGCCTGTGTGATACCTGTTTGTTTTTCATTTGTTCTTTTTTTATCACCATTAAAGAGCATCGTTTTCTCCATCGTTAGGACATGTTAGCAGGCTCGTGAAATTAGTTTTCCATGAATTAGGAATCCGGATTGATCGGGACGTTCGGTTTAATCTCATTATCAGTGTCGCTGTTCAGAGCAGTGTTTTTCTTCTGTTTCTTATCGCTCTCTTTCTCTCATTCAAGGTGACCATTAACAGGGATCCCAAATACTGCAGTAAAGATTTTAAACGAGCAAATGGAGCTGTTAAATCGGTTTCTCTCATAATGAGCGTATCGGTAAAGGATCGGCTCGTACTGTGGGTGTTTTGAGTGATACTGACACATGATGCGCACCCCGATCATTTTCCCCTCTTATGTTTTTTTTTTCTTTTTTTGAGTGATAATTTTGGTGAAGAAAATCTATAAAATACACACACACAGGCTGTCATATTCTGTCTAAATTTTACACACTGGATGACATGATTACGTCCGTCTGGAGACGAGCGCATCATTTGTTCGTCTCCAGAGGCAGAAATCAGTAAAAGCCTCTTTGCTTCATCTAACACTTGCCTGTGTGATACCTGTTTGTTTTTCATTTGTTCTTTTTTTATCACCATTAAAGAGCATCGTTTTCTCCATCGTTAGGACATGTTAGCAGGCTCGTGAAATTAGTTTTCCATGAATTAGGAATCCGGATTGATCGGGACGTTCGGTTTAATCTCATTATCAGTGTCGCTGTTCAGAGCAGTGTTTTTCTTCTGTTTCTTATCGCTCTCTTTCTCTCATTCAAGGTGACCATTAACAGGGATCCCAAATACTGCAGTAAAGATTTTAAACGAGCAAATGGAGCTGTTAAATCGGTTTCTCTCATAATGAGCGTATCGGTAAAGGATCGGCTCGTACTGTGGGGGTTTTGAGTGATATTGACACATGATGCAGCCTTTTCATATACATAAAGAACCATTAAAGCATGTATGTGACTTCCATAGTTTGACATTAATATCACTATACTGTCATTTTTACAGGGAAATAAACGTTTTCAACGTAAATGCAGATTACCTGTTCTTTTGTTTTACTGTGAGGAGATAGATAGATTATCGACTAGGCACTTGTCTGTCTTAAATCTCAAATATACAATATTCAGAATAAAGTTATGAGCAGATATGAACATTTAGATGTCGGTGTGCGTTTACAAAAACAGCTGTTACCATATCAGTTTTACTATGTTAATTACGCATGGGGAGTGTTATATTTTACAGCAATAATGCGAGTAAATTTGTCTTTTTTTATTTTTATTATATATTTAATCCTCTGGTGTTGTTCATCTGGGAGTCACAC